GCGCCCGCCCTCCGATCAGCTTGGTTGCCCTCCTCTGGACTCTCTCCAACAGCTCCATGTCTCTCGTGTACTGGGGCCCCCAGAGCTGGATGCAGTACTCCAGGTGGGGTCTCACCAGAGTGGAGTAGAGGGGCAGAGCAGAGTAGAGGGACAATTCAGGACTTCAACTCCTAGAATTATTCTGAACATTAGAGAAAAGTGACTTGGTCGTTCTGCACACAGGATTGTTAGATCTCTAATAAACTATAGCTTGGGCTTTCACACTACACCATTTTCGACAAGCTGATTATTTTTAGGACAATAACCTGCATCAGATATATTCCACAATAATACTTTTTAAACTACTCAGAGTGAAAGCCAGTATTATTCATCACTTCATTTCTTAAAACTTATATAATCAAAACAAGTCCTGTGGTGTGTGTGGTTCTGGGGGGTTTTTTGGTTTGTTTTTTTTTTTTAAGTATTAAAGATGGTTTTTAAGTTCCACTGTATTGGAAAACTCAATGAATTATAATCACCTCAATTGCATCGTCGTACATTTTCCTTGCCTCCGTGTCCATCTTGTCTGACATAAGCCAGGCTTTCAATAAATATTCATAAAAACTGTCTCCCAGCCCGCCCACGGATGTGTGATCTGTTTTTTTTTGGGAAAGAGGAAAAAAAAAAAAATTTGAAGTTGTTATATAATAGCACCTTAAATTTATTCAAAATATAAACTTACATTTTTAAGGTCTACTGTTGTAGAATTATCAATATTTTAAGCCTGTTTAGCAGGACAGCTTCATAGGTGTGGAACCTGCTCTCTGTGTTCACTATCTGTCATTCTGCACAGGCTCTCTCTCATACCAAAAATGTAATTTAACCTCTGTTTTTACTTCATTCCACAGAACCTAATTGTTCAGCTGCTAAGGCTTGGCGGGGGGTGTAATTTTTTTTAATATATGTAAAAAAGTATATATAAAAAACCATAAGATCTCTGTATCCAGGATGCAAACAGGTCACGTGGCTGGCTATAAACTGCCATGAAATACACAGAATCCAATCTTTCCAGGAGATTTTTATTTCCAACAAGGTGGTTACTTAACAGACTAATGAATTTCTCAAAGTAAATATTCTTATGTAAATTATTTCAGTCAAAAGGGAGGCAAATTGCCTTTGCAGTGTACAACGCAAGCTCTGCTCTGTCCCACCATGCCTGAGCAGCCATGCAGAGCCACAGCATGTGCTACAGGGGAAGGGTGCTTGACTATTGGAGTCCACCACCACATAAACTGGACCTTCTAACACGATTTCTTTTTTATCACCTTTTTTTTTTTTTCCTTGCAGAGGTTGCCTTTCACAAGTAGAGTCACTGCTATTTTGTGCTGACAGACCACATGAGAACTACCTACATTTCTCTTTGGTTGAACTATCACACATCCCCACAAAAAGCCTACTAATGGTCTGATTCTGTCTTGGAGCTCCTGTTCCAACCTCAGTACACCCTTCATTCAAAAAGCAGTACACTCTATGAGATTGAATAAGTGACTCCAACCAGAACAGCACATAACCTTTTCTTTCCCAACGTTACAGCCCCCAAAACGCTGGCACCAGAACAGTCTCAGTCTGCTGAAGCTAAGTGAAGGAAATGTTTAAGACCAACTTTTGTCACAATGCCAGAAATTCACTGCGCTAAGCAAGTCATGCAAGTTCCCTTTTACCAGGTGAAAAAAAGAAAAGATATGATACTTCCTTTTCCAAAGTAGCTCAAAAAAGTGGTATTATTCACAGTCTTTCTTGGATAAAAGTGTAAAAGAGAGGTTGGAGCTCTCCTTCTGTTCCTTCTTCCTCCAAGCACCATCCTGCCCCAGCATGTCTGCTTGTCTCTGAAGATGTGAGTAGGAGGTTAGAGCTGGTAGATGCTTCTATCCTAACTCTTCTAGCTGCCTCTTGAATCCTCTGCTGCTTACCAATGGATTTCTAAACAAAGGAAGGAGCAAGCGGAAAGCCTGTAGCTTTCCCGTTTGGTTTCAGGTTGTGAATTTGGAGCAAATTACTTCATGCCCTTCCCTTATCTCAGTATCTCCTAGACAGCCTTTTCACACCCAGCTACTCAGTGATTTAACTACAAACAACGAATTTTCATAAGCTTTCTAGCTCTGAGCTGTAAGAGGACACTGAGGTTACGAGTCACTTTCTTCCACAAACGCAGGGGCTAGGAATTTCTCCTTCAATACACAATTACATTCTCAAGTAGACACAAGAACTAAGGGTCTGTGGTTTCCAGAAAAAGAATAAACAAACCATCCCAAGACTTCAAAGTTACAACTCATGTCAGCACTACTCAGGGACTGTCTTCAGAAGAGATATGGTTCAAAACTACTTCTGTTAAGCTGCTGCCTCCTCCCCAGCTGAGCTCTGTCACTTGAGTCAGCACTGCTCCTCTGCTTCATTGCTTTCACAGATGCACTAAGTCCCCAACCAGGACAGGGTTGCTGAATATCCCTCAGCAGCGTTCATCTTGGAGCACCTCCAGCTGGGTTCAGGGAATGAAGGAGTGGGAAGATGAGTGGAAAAGGTTTATTTCCTATACAGAGAACTCCACCTTTATCCACAGTTATCAGAAACACCACCCGTTTTACGTCTACTTCTTCAGGCAGTCATTTGAGAACTGTCTTTCCTGTCAGCAGTTGTTCTCCTCCCCCACATTGCTTCTCATCTTAGATGAAAGTACAGGGAACGCTGGAACCAGTAGCGTCGGGACACACGGGACTCGGAGCCATCCCCTAGACAGCCCTTGGACCTTCTTCGTGCCTTCAGAGAACAGAGCTGCACAAGCTTCTCAGACACAGATCCTCCTCCCACTCAGAAAGTGAAGAGCAAACATGGTAAGGGCTTCTGAGGGCCTTGCAGCTCCCCCATTTCACACACCTCACTCCAACTCGGAACTACTAGAAGTTTTCAAGGCTCCACCACTTCCCAGTTGAGAGGGGAGACCTGTCAGAAAGGGCAAACTGATTCTGTTCCTTCTCCTCAGCAGCAGGAAAGGGAGAGATGAAGTATTTTTGGTGGTCACACGTGGTAAGATATCATGGACAGAGATGTTTCACACAGAAGCAGTATTTCAAGGGAGCTGACTGCAGTGAGATACAGCTGTCTTGATTTCCCTGACCCCTCCCCATCTGCAAAAACTACCGCAAAGAGGGGAGGAGTGAAAAGGAGGCCACTGCAGCAGCTCAACTGAGGTTTAAGCGCAGCAAGTTTCCCAGCTTCTACAGCTGCATTAACTGCACCCCTGGCAAGATCTTCTTCAGGTCTTCTGCTAGTGTCAGAAGGTGTCGTTGAAGCAGAATTTTCTGCATTTTGTATAAGGACTATAACTAGAAATGACTGAAAATTAAAACACTTTTTTGTGACAGATGACAGGACTTTGACAACTTGGTCTCACCTAGAGTGGAAATGCTAATAAAATATTTTCAAGATTCCTGTAGAAAATAGCGAAGCTTAGCTATAAGAAAACTTACATTAACTAGAAAGCTACTTAAGGCCTAGAACTGTTTCAAAGCCTATAATCATGGGAAAGGAGTTTCTAACCAAGGTAACAGGTAATGAAACTAACCGACCATGGCAAGGTACAATGCTGCTACGTTCCATGTACAGTCCTTACCCAACCGGACAACAGGCCCAGGAATATTAATCTTATGAAGTAAGTTGTTATGGACAAGTGTATCCACAGCAAGGATACTGCGCATGCCTGCAAGAAGAGGATCATCCAGTGGACATGGGTGCGAGACCACTGACGACCACTAGAGATCCCTTGAGGACCACCGACTCAAATCACTGAGCATGCATGATGGGGAGGAGAATATGGAAATGGATTCTAAGAAATTATTATCATAAGACTGCCTTTTTTTTGAAAAATAATGAATATGTATATTTTGATTCTATATAACCTGTATGTTGGTAATCAACTGCATGCACATTTGGTGGAGCTGCTTCCCCAGTGCATCCAGCACTATAATAAAGCAAACCTAGGGTAACTCACGTCTGGTAGATTTCTTTTACATTCCTTAGCAAATATATAGCTAGTGAAAACTGTAGATTTGGGTCATCACATACCATTCTCTCCTATAAACAAAGCTCCCTACCCAAACTTATCATCAGAATGTCCACAGTGGTTATCACTCGCTCCTGCTATTTGAGCTACAGCTCAGACGGATTCAGAGATTTAACTCAGCTCAATTCAAAATGTTTTGCTCATAAAAATGTTTTGCACATAAAATATTTTGAAGTTTTTCAATCAGCCCTAACCTTGCATATCAATCCAGAGTATTAAAAAGAAACAACTTATGATTTGAATAACTGAGTTTAGAACAGCATCTTGGCACTGGGTACTCTTCAGTAGACAGCTGTGAAGGTATTATGTTTAACATGCTTTTAAGTATTTTGCAAATTTAAAAACTGACTTAATTTTTCACAAGAATTACTTTATTAGCTTTATGTCATTTAAAGGTTTTTACTGTGAAGAAGTATCTCACAGTGAAGTCCTGAAGTAAAATTCTTTCCAGATAAAGACAAATATAGCAAAGAGAACAGAAGTATGAAGGCATATCAAATATGGTAGAATCCACATATTCTGTTCAATGACATGTATACATTTTTAGAGCAGTCATTCCTTCCAATCGAGACAAATTATTTTTTCATTCCCCATTTTTTTAAATGTAGGCCCAGATGACTGGGCAAACACAAAATTATTACAGTCAAGGATTCCTTGGGAAGTTTTATTTTAAAATAAAAGACATAGCAGCTGCAGTTGCAAAGAATGCCTTGAACTACTGCAATCAAAAGCAATACAAAAAGCACCGTATTTTTTCTGGTTTGTCACACACTTGAAAGCTTGTTGTTTGCAAACCCGTGCAAAGCCAGTCTGTTCATAGGCTTCCTCCTTGCCAGAAAGAGCCAAATAAAATCTTAATAGAAAGGCAAAGATATTTACAGTTTATAGCAACATTTTTTCTCAGATATTTCAAGAGGTTTACATCTTATTAAGTCCTGGATATTTTCTTAATAAACAGCATGCAATTGGAAAAAACCCTAATCAATTTCATAGCAGTATTTTAATGAGTTTTTAATTTATTGATAAAAGAAGATCTATATTTAGTCAAATATTGTGTCTCAGTTAATATTTCAAAAATCCCATCCACCTCTTTCCCACAGACTGAGTGGAGAACCTTCTTTTAAATTCTCACACTATCATTATCTAATATTTCTAAAGCTAGTTTCACTCCAAATGATTTTTTTCGTATCAGCAATCCATTAGCTCACTGCTGAAACAGTCTCCTATGATGAGAACCAGGACAATGATTTCACAGCAAAGCACAGAAATACAGAGCAGGTCAGAAGGCAGCGTATATGCCATCTAACTGAAACGACAATGAATCTCAGCTTGAGATAGGAGGGATAGTCTGTGACGCTCTGGTGATTTGTTCTCTGCAAGTGAAATTGTTTCTTTACAAATCTGGGGAGACAAATAAACTTTTTTTTCCTCAGCTAGCTCTTCAGGGTGTAGGCAGCAGGGCTCCCCCTCCTCAGTTATAGCTGAGGCACTGACACAGATCTGGCTGTTCTTCCTCTCCAGGACTAGTTTTTTGGGAT